GTATTTTACTTGCAGATTCTCCTTCTTGCCAAACACAACAGAAGATATATTTTTTCCTCTGGGTTTGAGAGTTGACACACAGGTGGAAAGAAGGAGATCGGAAAAGTAAACGTCATGAGAGCACACACACAAAAAAAAAAAAATCCCCATTACTCATTAATGAATTTAAAGAGAGGGTCCACAATTTGAGATGGCTTGTACTATTAGTTAGTTAGACCAGTTAAAACACTGCGAGCGAGTTTATAATTCGTTTTAAAATAATTTTATTTTTTATATAAAAATAAAAACGAAACGTTTTTAATCTTAAATAAAAATTATTTTTAAAAATATATTTTGTAGTTTTATTTAAAAATTATTTTCAGTATAAAAAACTCATTAATATATATATATATCTCTATGTGTTTGAGAAATGAGAAAATAAAAATAAAAAATGAAAAACGATTAAAAATTATTTTTTATTTCTCTCTCATTTTACATTAAACTGAAAAATCATTTTCATTTCCGTTTTTTGTCTTTATTATCCCAAATGTCGTTTTGAAAACGTTTTTATCTTTTTCTCAAAAAATGTAAAAAATAAAAACATGATCAATTCTAAACATAGCCTACATATTAATTTGTTTTATGTATTTAAATTAATAAATTTAATTTTGTTATAGTATTTTTTTCATTAAAAATTTGATTTGAAATCTCAAAATTAAGAATTACTAATTTAAACGTATGAATTAAACAGACCCGTTTGTGAGTTGCGTGGGTAAAATTATATTATTTTTAACTACACATCACACGATTTTAATCAAACGGCAACGAAAAAAGTAACCTATAAGCAAGGCTAAAAATAGGGGCATACCAAAAAAAAAAAGTCCCCAAGAAAAAATAATCTCAATTTAGATGATTCTTTGATAAGACATGAAAAAAATACTCAGTTAGTGAGTCGTTTTTAAGCCATTAAGTTTGTGCTAGAAATTGATGAAGGCATAACGTTTTTTAATTATTATTTAGGGCAAATTACTCGGTTGTTCTTGAATTATAGGTATTGTCACATAATGCCTTTTAAAACTTTAATTTTAATTTTTTTTCTTGAACATGAGTAACTCTAGCAACATTTCTCCCTTTATTAAATTTTTATTTATGTTATTACTGTTAACCGCTATTTATGAACCTCTAAAGGTCCTTAGATCAAGCAAATTAAGGAGAAAGGTAGGTATAGTAAAAAAAATTGATAACTCCTATTGTGTAATTGTATTTTCATGTGATTGCATGAGAATGAGCTAGCATAATAATTGTTTAGTACTGACATTTAATATTTATGTCAAAGGAAGGAAGAGCCTTTTAGCTCTTTTATTTATGTAAAGAGGGACTTTTTTTATTAGACCGGTCTATTAATAGGGTTAATTTCTAATTGTGAGATCTGATTAAAATTATATCAAATTAAAAAAATATACATAATAAATAATTTTTTATACAAATTTAATAATACAAAAAATTATTAATAGTTTTTATTTTTTTAGTCATACTACAAAACTCCCATGTTAGGATTTTCATTTGTTGTTTTCTTGGAATGGTAATTTTGTTCAAGGGGCTTTTTACCGTCTTTCTTTCACTCCTTTTTATGAAGGAGAAAAAAAAAAAAAAAACTTTTACTTACCTTTCATTTTTTTTTCTTTTTAAAGAAAGGTCCTTTACTTTTGGGTTCTGGACAAAGTATGGTTGTTGTAAAATTTCCACCAATGAGAAGAGAAGACAGTTGACGAGAAATGCCTGTGTGAGCAAAGCACAGAGATTAAATCGTCTGTCAAGGTCAAACGCCATCTGACCACCCTCTGTTTCTGCTAACGTGCGCTCTATGCGTAACTGCCAGGTAACGACAAACTGACTGTAATAATCCTAAAATGACACATCAGCTAAAACGATCCCAAAATGAGCGATTCCGTACCACACGATAGCAAGAGCGCGTTGCATTGCTTGTTTTTTTATTTTTCAAGCTAATAATTATGACGTTCGGTAAAAGATTCGATTTGAATCATAATTTATATTTATTATAATATTTTTTTCATAAAAAATACACATAAATTAAAAATAATTATAATATCAAACCTAATTTAATTTTAAACTGAAAAACAGAAAACAGTGCAATTTCTGATTGCGTGTGGATTTCATAGGTGAAGGGCCAGGCAAAACGAAATATGATATTATTAAGAAATAAAACCGTAAAAATATAAAAGCCTAATAAAAGAAATTCTTCAACCAAAAGTCTACCGAAACTCCAATGATCTAATCATATAATAATGTAAAATGAGGAATAATTTTTAAAAGGGTAGGGGTTCAATCATGTATTGTATCAATTATCAAAAATGAAAAATACTAATAAAAAAATTCTCCAAGCAAAAAAAATCTTAGCAAAAAAGAGGCAACAGTTAATGTAATTTTAGTTTCTTGTAGTATGAATCCTGATTAGAAAGATAAAATTTTCCTCAAAAAAAAAAAAAAAAAGAAAGATAAAGTTTTGGATCATATATTATAGATGGCTGGAATTAGGGATTATCTATTGTTAGAGACAATTTAGAAAGATAAAGTTTTGGATCATATTATAGATGGCTGGAATTAGGGATTATCTATTGTTAGAGACAATTTAAATAGTATGGACAGACTTTACATTTACCAACTATATCTCACATTTGTAACCAGCAAAAAAACTATATCTCATATTTATTTATTAAAATAATGTAAATCTTATATTTACACAATATTTACTGAGAGTTCTTAAAAAAGAAGAATAGTTATTGAGAAAACTAGTAAAAAAGACACGTGCATATATCAATTAAATTTATTACATTTCACATAATACATATAAAAAGATCTCAACATTGCATTTTATTATCTAAATCATAAAAAATTATGACTAAATGTTAGCATATTGTAATAAATTCAGGATACAATTTTAATGCAAATGAAAAAAAAAATACAAAAAGCTTGTTTTATCACATTTTCATGAAAGAATAAAAATATGAATGAAAAAAAAGTAGATAATTCCATCAGGCACATAACTTCAGCATGTAATTCAACCATTATCTAATTTGATCATTCTTATTTTAACCCTGAGTACAATAGATAAGAAATTAAATGTTTAAAAAATGAAGGGCATAAATAAAAATAAAAATCTAACATTTTCTCTTAAGTTTTAAGTAAGAAAAAATAATAAATAAATTTAAAAGATATCATCACACTTTTACTAGATTATAGATTTACTAAAATCATACAATTTCTTTTATAGATCTTAATTCTTATTAGGAAATTAAAAATAAAGTTTTGAGCAATATCAGGATGTTAAATCTTTTACTTTAGATATATGTCCTGTTGGGCAAACTAAGCACTTGAAATCTACTAAGAATATTAAAAAAAAAAGATATCTACTTTATAGATTAATTTTCTTTTCTGAAAACTACTTTATAAATTATAATTAAATCATCTAACATCACTTCTTATACAATTGAATTTTAGTCGAAATGCTTTTAAGAAAGCTACATAATATAAAAGTCATCTTTAACAAATAACACCCAACTTGAGGACCACCGATCTCTCTTAATAGCGTCCTCGATCCCCTTCCTAATGCGCGCACCCAAAGGCCGTGACAACCATTAAAATCTAAAAACCAAAAAACAACCACCAAATAGAAAAGAAACAGTGTCCCGAACTCAAAACACCGCTGTAACCCAGCACTTTCCCCGACCCAAAAACACAAAAAATGAAAAAGGTAATTTGTACGAATGGTTTTTAATCTCTTTAATAAGTGATAGTTTAATTTTTAATATTTTTTTGACAAAACGATCGTCAATCTCTTTAAAATGTGATATAACAGAATATGATATGTCACGTAACTCGTCACGGGATGACCTTTTTTAGTAAAATGACTTAAAAAACCCCATAATAAAAATACCATTTCTTTCAAAAGTCTCATAAAACAAATCTCACAACCCACCCACCACTCTTGGCGGCCACCATCCTCGGTGGCAGAACTCGCGAACCCGTTGTAGGAACAGTAATAGATAAACAAATTGTTAAAAAAAAAAACCCAAACAATTCAGAAAGCCTCCTCGTTGCAAATCTGATACTATTCAACACAAAATCTAACAAATTACAACAAACCAAGATTACAACAATCTAAAAAACTTTATAAATTACAACAATCCAAAGAACATTAGCAACAATTCAGAGAAATCGAAATACAAATTAATTTCAAAATACAACAAAAAAGGACGCAAACCCAGATCCTGAGACATCCTTGCACGTTGTTCACAAGCCCATCGCCCGAGTTACGAGCACAACGTTCAAAGCAAAACCAGATTCTGACGGGAGGAGAACCGGAGGATCATCCCGCCGCCAAAGTTAACCCAGATTCCGTAGGTTAGGGTGACGCGAATCTCCCCTCAATGCCGGCGCTAACCGTGCGAATCTTCCCGCCGACGAGCCTCTCGCCTCCCACGCTGCCAAGCTTTACTTGCAGAGAGAGAGAGAGAGAGATAATGAGAGCTTACCTTAGTATTTTATCAAAATACCCATTTTAATAAGATCACGATGGCTTGCATATGATTAATTTTGTGAAAAATTTAATCAAATTTGACGAAAATGACAAGATTATGATTAATTTTGTGAACAATTTAAGGAAATTTAACGGAAATGACAAGATTACACATTTTTATATAGATTGAGATTATTTTGTCAAAAAAATAATTACAGATCAAATTATCACTTTTTAAAAAGATTAGAAACTATTTGTGTAAATTATTTAAAATAAAAAATAACAAAACTGTTTTAAATATTTTGTTAATCAATTTTATGAGGAACATTTATTTTTTATATTCGTTATATTTTAAATTATAATTTATTATTTTTTATAATATTTTTTTTCTTAAAAATATACATAAAATAAAAGTAATTTTAAATTATAATTGAGTATATAAACCAAACGTCTCCTTTTATTTTTCAGTTTTCAGACACTTTTGGATAATAGATGAGCAGTGTGGTGTGGCGATTATTCGTAGTGTAGTATTAAAGAAAGAAAGAGAGAGAAAGAAAGACTGACGAATTAAAATCCGTAGTCACTCTTTCTGAAAATCCTAACCTCATGATTCCCTAATGCCCCTCGTTTTTTGCAGTTATTAACCAACAATGCCATCGCGTCCCGTTCCGGCAGTTTTACCGGCAGCGATTCCTCCGCCAGAGCACCACCACGGCCACCACCACTATCACAGTGTTCTAATTCGGGTCCTCGCCGGAACCCTAGCTTTCGCCGTCGTCAGCGTTGTTTTCCTCGTCGTCTTCTTCATCTACCGTAAGCTCTCCTACAACAGAACAGCTCCCTTCGAGAACAACCAGAGCCAAAACGGCGTCGTGTCGAACCAGCATCAGAGATTCTCCTACTCCCTTCTCCGGCGAGCCACGGGTTCGTTCTCCGCCGCGAACCTGCTCGGCCATGGCGGATTTGGCTCGGTCTACAAGGCCACGCTCCCGTCTGGGGAGTCCCTCGCCGTGAAGCTGATGGACTCGCAGGGATCAATCCAAGGAGAGAGAGAGTTCCAGAACGAGCTCTCTCTCGCTCTAAACCTCTGTTCCCCACACATACTTTCTCTCCTTGGCTACTCCATGGACAATCGGGGGAAGAGGATGCTACTAGTGTACGAGCTGATGCCGAATCGGAGCCTCCAAGAAGCGTTGTTCGATCGGAAGTGCTCGGAGCTCATGGACTGGAAGAAGAGGTTCCGCATTGCGCTGGACATCGCCCTAGGGCTCGAGTATCTCCACCACTCGTACAATCCGCCAGTGATTCATGGCGATGTGAAGCCGAGCAACGTTCTGCTCGACTCCGATTTCAACGCGAAGATCGGTGATTTCGGCCTGGCGAGGCTGAAGACAGAGGATCAGGATCAGAACCATCTCGTCGTCGAAGAGGAAGGAGAAGCGGAGGATTTCGCGGAGCAGAAGAAGAACAAGAACAAGGAAGACAACGGCTCGATCGTGGAAGAGGAGACGGAGAGCGTCAGCGTCAGCGTAAGTATCCTCACCGGCGGATTCGAAGAAGGTAATTCGGCTCTCGGTCGGTCTCCGGAGAGTTTCGGCGGCGTCGCTAGGGTTTCAGAGAATCCCGAGGCTTCGTCGCCGATGGACGAAAGTGGAAAAAATTTGACCGGAAATAATGGTAAAAGGAAGGGAGGCTCAGGGAGGGATTGGTGGTGGAAGCAGGAGAATTGCGGGGAATCGGAATCAGGAAGAGTGAAAGATTACGTCATGGAGTGGATTGGCAATGAGATTAGCAAGGAAAGGCCGAAAACCGAGTGGTCCGAATTGGAGAAGCTCGAGTCTTCGAACGCCGAGAAGAAGAAGAAGAAGCGAAGAAAGAGGTTGGAATGGTGGGCGTCAATGGATGAGAAGAAGGACCACCACAAGCATCGGAAGAAGCCGAGGGAGTGGTGGAAGGAGGAGTTCTGCGAGGAGCTCACGAAGAAGAAGAAGAAGAAAAAGGCGAAGGATTCGAGCATCAGAGGCGATTCGTGGTGGCAGAAGGATAGAGATGAAGACGAGTTTCAAGAGAGGAAGAAGAGGAAGAGTAAGAGTAGTAGTACTAGAAGAAGCATAGATTGGTGGTTGGATGGAATTAGTGGTGAACTCAGAAGTGGAAGAAGAAACAGCCAAGATTGGGCTAGTTGTGATATACCCAAGAGTGGAAATATCAGTAGTACTCCTTCAATGAGAGGAACAGTTTGTTATGTTGCTCCTGAGTATGGTGGAGGAGGGCAACTATCCGAGAAATGTGATGTTTACAGTTTTGGGGTATTGATTCTGGTCTTGGTTTCAGGCCGGAGGCCGTTGCAAGTGACGGCATCGCCAATGTCGGAATTTGAGAGGGCGAACTTGACGTCGTGGGCAAGGCAGCTCGCTCGGAACGATAGGCTTTTGGATCTTGTTGACCCGGCTCTGCATTCCTTGGATAAGGAAGAGGCGTTGCTCTGTCTCACCATTGCCCTGCTTTGCCTGCAGAGGACGCCCAGCAAACGGCCCTCAATGAAGGAGATTGTGGGGATGCTATCCGGCGAGGCTGAGCCGCCACATTTACCATTTGAATTCTCCCCGTCACCGCCTTCCAATTTTCCGTTCAAGTCCCGGAAGAAGGCACGGTGAGTGTTCGCTCAAATGGGGCTTGTTTTTTAATTTCTACTATGATTATTAACTGTGCGGAGCGTGTACTGTTGGTTGTAGGTGATTTCTAATTGTCATGCCTTTGGGAGAATTAAATGATGATTTTGATGGGCAAAAATGTTGCATAGTTTTCATGAACTTGGATTTTCTTTTTTTCGCTTGTTTGTTTGGAAATTTTTAGTCTGACCTGAGGAATTCAAAGGATTAATAATGTCAAAAATGAGAGGAAGTGATGAGGCTTTTTCTTTCAAAAACACCTTAATCAACAAACTTTTGTTAGTGCTATGGGTCTCAAATGAACAACTTTTTATGACTTTAGGAGTAGTAGGGCCCCGGATGATTGTGTACTTTTGTGTTATCTGCTATCTTTTGCAAGTAGGGAGATTTTTCTTGCCAAAGAAGCATCAAATTCAGTGAAAAAGTTAACAGATATGGGTCCCATTCCTATCTTTTACAAAGTAATGTTTGTTACTGAAGTTTGGTGTACTAGAATTGTGAAAGGCTAAGGGAAAACAGTTTGTAATTGGGTTGTGAAAACAGATTGAAACAAGTCAGATCCAGGTTAAGATTACTCCAAATTTTCTTCAACTAATTGTATTTCTCTGGCAGTATCCTAATTATTAGTGGTTTTGTTTTAAGTCTTCATAGGGGTTTAACTTGTTGACTAGAATTCTGATAAATGCTAACAAAGGCTCATATATTCCTTTTACAACACGTGTAATCTTAAGAATGATGTTTTCATTCAATTACTTGTTCTACTAGTTGCTTCCTAGAAAATTTACATAAAGCATTTTATTATTATTATTATTATCATTATTATTATTATTATTATTATTATTGTTATTATTATTTTATTATTTTGTATTGATCATTGGATCTTATTATGCCACTCTCTTTGGTTACATTGCTCCAATGAGAAACTCTTTTTATGCTTTACACTCTAGCGAAGATGATTGATTCTCTATTTTTACGACCAACTATTTTTCGGTAAAATTAGAACATATTCTCCACTTTCTGCAACAATTTCCACATCCTATTTGGATTTTGACAGAAAAAGTAATGCGTTCAAAAAGTCTAAAAGAAAAATACAAAGAATCTTGTATTTTATCTGATGTGAGAGCATATTTTTTTCTTCTCTCTCTATTAACCTTATGACATTGTGGGAAAAGACTCCATATTACTTCTATTAGGAATAGTTCAGCAAAGCATCTCACTATGAAGGGAAGGATTAGGGCAAAAGCAAATAGCGTTAGATAAACATCTTTTTGGCATTGGATGACTTAATGGCCACTTTTGTCTCGCCTTTATATAAGAGATTTCTCTAGTAGATCCTGAAAATCTCTATTTTTTAGAAATTGTGTAGAAAAAGACCCTTTATATAATCAAAATCCCCGCTGAGGGCTGCCCTTGGAGGCTTGGATAGTTGAGTGTGATGATTGAGTCAGCCTGGCATTGTATTTTGTTCTGAATACAAGAGCCCTGCAAAGCTTCCACAAAAGCTCCAATAGACCTTGTTAGGTTCCCACTTCTCACTAAATACCAAAAGGGTTTTTGTGGAAGTGGCACATGCATAGATGACATATAGCTCCAACAAAAACAATTTAAACGACATGAAATTGTAAGTCACACGAAATGTGTACAAAATAGTCTTCACAGGTGTGAAATGGCGCCATCAAGGCTGATATTTGTGCCTTTCTGAAAAAAAAAAAAAAAAAGATATTTGTGCTTCTGTATTACTTTTTGGATTAATTATAAAATTCTCTCTAAATTATGACCCTTATAATATTTTATCACTCGATCTTTAAAATGTAACATGCGTTCTTTTTGAAATATAAAGCGTTAACAAAAATGTCCCTTTCGTTAAAGTTTCTAACATAAATGACACATGTCACACTATTATTAATTGTTATTAAAGAGTTTGGTGCAAAATTACGCTTTTATCCATCACTTTTAAATTTACATTTTTTAAAAATAAATTCTAATTTTCATTTAGTATGTTAATAAATAAACAAAATAGTAAAACCAAATTTTTAATCACTCTTTTTGTTAATTAATTAATTGAAACTTTTCAACAAAAAAAATTAAAGCTAAATAGTTTTTAAATTCAGAACATATTTGTTTAACTTAATTCATAGTATACCATTAATAACATTTTTCAAAACATCAACATTAAAAAAAAAATTGTTTACATATACATATTATATATTACATGTAAATTAGAATTAAAAAAGTTTTTTATTCAGATTTTTAAGATTTAATCATTATTAAGAATAGATAGGGTTATCAAAATACTCCTAATTATATATCATGAGTTAGTTTTCTATTAAAACTTTAATATAAGGGTAAAACAATTCATAGTTCGGAAGAAATTGATGTTATGTTTTGAAGATCGAAATGCAAAGTGTTATATGGGTATACGAGTCATAATTTAGGAAAAAAATTTATAATTAATAATTACTTTTTCATTGGGAGTAACAAGGTACAAATCATATTTAGTTTAGGATGTATTGCAAATTAATCCGAACCGTTAAGTTAGATTATGCATATAATAGAATATTTTGCAATTCGAATTATAATTTAAATATTTTTATTACAATTTTTTCTAATAAAAATTTGAATGATTCAAAATTCTTGTTCCAAACCTATGAATCAAATTCACCATAACCTTTTGTTAACTTAAATTTGACAATAATTTTGTTTTCTTACTTAAAGCTAATTTGACCATCATCCAATAACGTTTAGAACTTTAAAAATAAGAGTAATGTTAGGACACCAACTCAAATCCCAACTTTTGTGTACCAATTGATGCATCATATGAGTTGTTATTTTTATATTAATAGGTTTTTAAAACATAGCCATGTCAATTAATGATAAGATATTACATCTATCAATAAAAAAATGACAACTCATATACTACATCAGTTGGTACATAAGACTTGAAATTTGAGTTGGTGTCCTTAACATTACTCTAAAAATAAATTGTATTTGAATTATTTTCATTTCTTTAAATTGTTAATAGGCGTATTGTTGGAAAAATGACAACGAGTTGCGCAGCGGAATTTTATAAATTTTTAAACAATAACAAAGCCAATTAAGAACATATTCATGATGCTATATAACATAAATATCAAAGATCTAATCACACCTTCAAAGATTATGAAAACAACATGTTTGATATATCAAAGCATTCCAAACAACAACTAGAAGAGCCTCACCAACTGGTCTTCTTTGTTGTTCTCATTTCTACGATCGGAGTGCGAGTGGGCACATGTCGTTCAATCTCCCCTTGGTATCTTGAAGTCATTCCAACCACAAGAAAGCCAAAGGAAAAATTGATATAGAGAATTGATCAGTTTTTTCCTCTCAAGAACCCTTACCAATAGCCGCCCCCCAAAGTCTCTCAAGTGATCTAATGAAGAATGAGACTTACCGGGCTATTTATAGAGTTTAAGAAGTTATATTTTAGGAACAATTAGGTTTCTCAAAGTCAATCTCATGTCAAAGATCGAATTAAGTCACTTTTAACATGTCAGCAGTAATAACCAGACGACTGGTTCCAATAGTTATAAAAACCACTAATTGACCAGTCCACACACGAAAAATCTCTATGTTGATTTTTACGCTCCGGTCAACCGACCTATGTCACTGGTCGATCGGTACTGTAATGAAAACTTGTTTTCTAAGCTTATTCAATATGAGAAACTTGTGTATATTATGTTTGTCTGCATAAATTTGACTAATTTTTAGTCATGGTTTTAGGGTTTAAAAATGTCTAATCCCTATGAATTTTTGTGGGAACGTGGTTTTATATGTCATGATAACCTCTGCAAATTTTGAGACTCATTCTCATGGTAGTTTTGGAGTTTATTTTTCCTTCAATTATGTTCCTGGAACCGATAATCTGTTTAAAATGTTATATTTGAATTCAACGAATTTTTATTTATTACTAAGATAATTTATTGAGTTTGAGGTTTTTTATGCTAATTCCTATTTATGTTAAGGGTTTCTCATAAAGATTTCACTCAATTTCAATGTCTATATTATGAGTTAAAAATCGCTAACTACGAGGTGCTCTCTGAAATTTTAATGTGGATAGAATTGTTTGATTAGATTGTTCATGATATAAAATTGGGTACTTTTTTCTATGATACTCTTTATACAGCTTCCTTTATGTGTCTACATGAATCCTACGACAATTGGTTACATTTTGTAATGGGGTTCGTGAGTGAAAAATCTTTTTTCATGCATAGGTCTGTTCTCTCAAAATGCTGACACTTTTACTTTTTGAATTATCAAATTATGAAAACCCTATCATATGACAATTTTATTAAGAAAGAAAATTTGTACATATTCCTATATCTGTTTTCCAGACTTCTATGATTTTTCATAATTTTATCACTTGTGGATTTCATGTTAAAAATTCCTTTTATACGCTGAGTTTGTTCAGAATAATTTTTTTTTTTTTTTTTTTTTTGGAAACTTTTAGGTTTATTTATTTGCTTTGCAAATAAGTCTAGAATGTTTCTAAAATTTACAAGCGACCTTGTGAAGATGTATAGACATGTTGGGTCATGATATAAACATGATGATAAGAATTTTAAGTCATACAGTTGTAAGTTCAAGAATTTAAAAGTTTGTGAATGTTTCTAGTAAAAAGTTTTAAACTCTTGATGTATCAGTGAAGAAGAATATTTGAGTGATGAGAACTAAGAAGAATGATTTTAAGTTGATTTTAAGTATGTTTTATGTAAGTTTGATAAGGGAAAAAGAGAAGAAAATAGAAGCTTTACTTGCTAGTTTAAACAGTTTAGGTTCTAAAACTAGAAACATACTGCTTATTCAAGAAAAATAATTCTAGGAAGATAAGATCAAATTTTAAGGTTGTAATCAAACCTCTTAAGGACAGTCTCTGCATTTGGAAAATACAATCTAATGTTATAAGGATAGACCCCAAATTGTAAGGGATTAAAATGTCAAAACTTCGGATATTGAGCTGACTGTATGAATTTAGTATTTTAGACCAAAATTGAGAAATTATGAAAGGTATGGGTTGAAACTATAAAAATGATTTAGAAATAGTAAGCAGAGGTTTAATAAGGTATCGATATGTTGAATGAATTATTGTTAGTAGGAAGGAAGATCAAGAACAACATACTCGTAGAATACAGATAGATACGTAAATATGGTTAAATTGATCTATTAAAACGCAAAGTTCGTATGAGGAACTCCAGACTATCCTCAGAGAATTCGCCTCCAGATTCACAGGTACTCTCAGAGATTGGTTCCAAAGCTTTGGAGGATATAGACAACTCCAATTCATCAAAGTAGACACTGCAGCAAGAATACTT